TGATTTTGGAAAGTCTGTCAATGTAATTAGGTTTTCTGTGCTTGTTCATTGGTCATCTAAGTTAGACTCCTGCCCTTTCACAGACACAGGGAAACAAGGACCCTATCTTTCTTTTTTATATAAAAAAAGATTTATTTATTTATGCATACAAGAGCTGGGGTGTAGGACAGAGGTGCGGGGGGAGGGTAGTGAGAGGATTCACCAGAGACAGAGTGGGGAGCAGAACAGATAGCTCTACTGAAATACACTGCTAAGGGGAGTGGCAGGCGGGACAGGAGAGATCTGCTGTGCCATGTGGGTAGCTCCTTGGCTGGGGATCGAACTTGTGCTGCAGAAGCTGCAGAGTGCTTCATAGTGCTCAGAATTACCCCCTTCCACCACCAGGGAGGCCCAGCCCTATCTTTCTTGATGATTATATTTGAAACTCCCTGGTCTTTGAGAAAGACATTTCTGGAGAGTAAAACTGGCAAAGGACTAGGAGATTATTTACAGCTCAAAGAGGCAGGGAAAAAACAAATTGCGAGTTTACCAAAGTAACTGCTCTAATGAAAGGGAAACCAGAAGTCTACTGTCAAGCTAAAACCTGACTGAAGTTAAGACAAGCTGGGTGGAACCTCACATCATTGGTTAATATAGTGCATGTTTTGAGGTGCTAAGATTCTTGGTCCTAGTCATGTCACTCAGTCATATCTCTCTGGATCCTTCAGCTTCCCATAGATGCTCCCCAGGAACAGTAGTCCAGTAACCTGATCTAGTCCCTCAGACCTCTCTCCACCCCACCCCAGTCAGGGAAACCTCTTCTTTTACAATCTGAGTAACAAGACATAGGTGGGATCTGATCTTATTTCCTCTTCTTCCAAGTCACCTGCTTCTTAGGGAAATCTCTCGTCTTTTCTTGTTTTGTTTTGTTTTTTACCTTAATTAACTTTAATGGCCCATTCTAAGGAATATAATTCAAAAACAACAACAAAAACTAGTCCCTTTTTCATCCAGAGTTGGAAGGACTTACTCTTCAAACCCTCCTAGGAGGTGGAGGGTGGGTGGTAGCTGAGGAGGGAATATTACACGCCATCATTCCAATGTAGCAGGGACATGAAGGAAAAGAAAAAACAGGACTCAGTGTTTATACTTAAGCAATTATATTCTCATTTTGCTATTAAAAATTTACTTCATAGAATGACTGAATTTAATGAGAAAATGCATATTCCTAGAACACATTCTGACTATTAGGTACTCATTAAATAAACTCCTCTCTGCCTCCTACACTGTCATTAAGACATGAGGTGTTATTATCTCCATGTTAGTAAAACATAAACTACCTCTTCCATTCAAGATCTTTTGAAACACTTTTCCTTCTGAATTTTCAAACTCAAACCTATAAACTTAATTTTTTGGCCTAATTCTGTTTGAGTGCCATAATAAAATACCTTAGACTGAGTGTCTTAAACAACAGAAATTTATTTTCTTACAGTTCTGAGCCTCAATTTCCAAGGTCAGGGTGCCAGTTGCAGTGGGGCCAGAGTGTGACCACACTTACAGAAGACCTAACCCTCGGGCCTCTAATAAGGCAATTTTTCAGCATGTGTGTGTGCTTTCATGATGCATGCAGGGAGGGAGGAGGGAAGGGAGAGAAGACACTAAGAGAATTCAAACATTCTGGTGTCTCTTAAGGGCACTAATCTCATGAGATCTCCACTCTTGCCAATGGGCCTACCTCAAATTATTATAATGTTGGGGTCTACAGCTTCAACACTTCAGTCTTAGAAGGATGCAATTCAGATCATAGAAGTATTTTTGCAAAATTCAATAGAGAAGAGTTTATCAACTTTCCATACATTAGGGCAAAGAAGAAAAGTACTGCTCTTTATTTTTATCATGGGTCAGTTCAGAGACCCACTATTACATAGCAACTACTCTTTTTCTAATTTAGGGTTAAATTAAATAGCAGTGAACATCACTATAGGAAGTGTGAATCTAGACAAATATATGTATAATGTACATAATATATGTATACACATATATGGATGTCATAGAACATATGTATATATACATATGTTCTATGACATCCATATATGTGTATATCTATATATGTTATATAACATCCATATATGTGTATATATACATATGTGTATATATACGTGTATGGATATTATATAACATCTATATATGTGTATACATATATTTTTACATATATATGTATAAAACCTTACCTTGGGATTAGTTTCTTACTTCTAGGTAAAAATAAACTCATCAGGCTACAGAGGAAATTATGTAAATTTTGGGATTCTACTTGATCCATAGTAAGCTTCCCACCGTGTTCTTCCCTCTGGTTCCATTGCCACATAGGCAGCATTCCAAAGCTGTTCATTTGGTTTCCCTTCCTCTCCTCATTCTGTTTTTTGATTTAGCCCTCCCTTGCTGGGCATATGCATGATGTAGGAGGCCTGTGACCCCCACTCACTGGCGCTGCTGTTGCACAGTAGGAATCAAGGGAAGCAGCAATGACTGCTGAATTGATTATTCATCCTGTGGAACCTTCCTGCCCCACAGCATGGTACACAGCTCTGTACCACTGAGTCCTAACCCAGACTACTGGTTTGCATTGTTCTCACTCTGGCGTCAACAACCCCTTCCCTGGGGAAGATGAATAATTGAAAACTGAACATGAGCTCAGTTTGGTATGCTTCATCAGAGACTTTTTATGCTGATTTGGTTTGAGATGCTCTACTACATCAAGGCCAGGCTCCAAGTCAGGATGATGACTATATCCCAAGTGGAAATAAAAAATGAACATACTTCAAAAAGAGGTAGGGACAGAGATGGCTTCCCACATCAAGAATAAATGAAATTTCTTAATAAATGTCAAGGACGGTAATGACATGAATTTTATGGCCTTCTTTTTGAGGAAAAAACCTTTTTAGTTGTTTTGAAAATAAATCTTTGCACTTTCGAGGGAATATAATTTTGTAAACAGAACCTAATAGGAGTTTTATCTCCACCACTATCTACTGCTTGTTATCTGAGCATTCATCTAGCATCCTCTATCCTAGGGAACCAGAGTGGGCCTTCAATATTAGGAATACCATAGATACTCAACTTTGCCACTGTTTTAAAAATGCACATTTACAAGCTGAGCTGTGGCTCCCTCAGTAACCACCCGCCACCCCCCCAACCAAATCCATATGTTGAAGTCCTATCACATGGTGCTCTAAGTCCCCATACCTCCAAATGTCATCAGAGACAGAATCTTTACTGAGGTAATTAAGTTAAAATGATGGTACTACAGTGAAACCTAATCCAGTGTGACTGGTGTTCTTATAGGAAGAGGAAATCTAGATGAAGATATAGACTGAGGGAAGATGATGGTCATTTACAAACCAAGGAGAGCGATTTGCTACAGATGCTTCCATCATGGAAGAAACCAACCCTGGTGAAATCTTAATCTTGGACTAATAGTCTTCAAAAATATGGGGGAGAAATTCTGCTGTGTAAGTTACCCAGTCTGTGGTGCCCTGTTGCATCTCTAGCAAACTATTACAGCAACCTTCCATCAACCAACAGTGGAAGATCTGGGTTGACTTGAACCTAATCATACGGTCTACAACCTATCAGACCAACTAGACTTAATCCAAGGGGGGAACCTCACTGACTATGCAGGAGTCAATAAGAGTCTCTCAAAAACTGGTATCAAAAGACCAGACTAGAAAAGTAAGAAGCTGTGTTTTATAGTATATCCTAGGAGTGGATCCTGCTTCTAAGGGACCCCTTTCCTGCACTTGTTTGTTCACCTCTATTGGAGTCCATGTCATCTGTGTTCTTAACATAGCCTGTTTGGAAACAATTTATCTAATGGTTCGATAATAAGTATTGGAAACAAAAAGTTTCCAATAATTCTTACTTCAGATGGTAGAGCTAAGTCAGAAAGGAACCAGAGCAGACTAGGGAAAGATGAAGAAGAGAAAATATCCAAGCAAGAGAGAATGTACCCTCCCAGATTTCATTCTAAAGCCAAATCATTCCATTCTTTTATCCCACAAGTCTATGGAGGCTTAGACTGGTACTCAGGACTCAACTCCCTGCACTCATGAACCTTCAGGTCCACCAATATATGACTTACTGGTTATTTTAAACTTGCTATTCCTCTGTCTCCATTGATTAACACAAATAAGTTGACAATAATCATTTAGATTATATGTCTTTTCCTCATTATACCAAGGTGAATTTTTAAATGAATGACTCATTTTTGCTTTTATACCTATAAATAGTTTCTATGGTATTCTTCATATCTATTAAAAGCCCAAGGAGGGGAGCAGTATTCATATAATTATGACAGAAAAGAAGACAGAAAAATAACATTTTCTTCCCTTTGTATTTAGGCACCATAACTCTATAAAAGTATTCAGAAACCAGGGAAATATTATTTTAATATTCTTCTACTTTTACTCCTATTTCTCAATCCTCACAAATACCACTCCTCAGACTCCAAACATTACTGAAACATACATCTAGAACTAATCCTTTCCATGCTCCAAAATTACTTATTGCGTCTTCCATTTCCTCACTTCTGCAGTTAAAATCTTCATTAAATTCAGCCATCTTAATTGGCTCTATCGGTAAAAATTCAATCAGATTCAACTAAAATGTATGAAGGCTTTTGACTGGTAACACTGTACCCTCTTAGAGTTATTTCCACTCTTTCAAAGAACATATTTATTAATCTAAGTGTGGGGTAAATGAAGATGCTTAGGCTTTTGCGCGTTGGCCTTTGAGGCTATCACCTGCAGCCTTGAATGCAGGAGGCGCTTGGGCTCGTGGGTTCGTGGTACGCATGCCTGAGGGTGGGCACCTGGAGTGTGGTGTGCGCATGCGTGAGTGGGCACACCTGGGCTAAGAGGGCTATGAGGCTGAAGCTCTAGGGGCGGCGTCACACAGAGGGACGTCCTTTGGCTGAGAGCAGTGGAGTGAGGTGGAGAAGGGCGACGGCGCTGGGAGGACAAGCAATGGCTGCGAGAAGCCCAGAGGAAAGAGCATATAGAGCTTCGCAGGGGGTTGCAATTTGCTGTCTCCCTGCTGGCTGGTTGCCCCTGCATAATATTAGAAAATCTGAGGATGATGTCAAGGACTTCAAGGTACTGTTTTAAGAGGCTTGAACCAATGGTGAACCTTCCTGGCCTGGAATAGCTGCAGAACACTGAGTTACTATCCAAATCATAGAATTATTGATAAAGTAGGAAATTAAAAGATTAAATTCCAGAGACTGTTTATATCTGAGCGCAAAAAAAAAAAAAAAAAAACACCCAAACCAGAAAAATTCCTTCTAGGAGTTCTCCAGGTGAAAGTCAACGCTTGCCCCTATACAAGAAGAGGCCAAAGGAAGAGGCAGCCCTTTCCACATCCGTAGCTGGCGGTTTCAGGAAGCCAGGGAACTTTGGAGGGAAGTTTGTCTTGGATTTCCACAAGATTAGACCTCAGCACCCGCCCACCAGAACTTCAGAGTTTACACAGAGGCTGTAACAGGGTTCAGAACGGTCCAGATGGTCTCAATTACTCCTTACTCTCTCAAGGCTGTGACCTTGATTGGACTGAACAGGGGGCAGGACTTACACTCCAAGGCTCCGTGCTGGGGAAAAAGTCTCCATTACAGAGGCTCAACTTTCAGTTTCCCAACAGTCACATCTTTTCAGTGACCTCCTCCAACAATTCAACAACAAGGTAAGATCTTTTTATGTGCTAAATATGATGCTATGAGTTGATACAGATGTATATTGTTGGGCTTCACCCACAGTTTCTGTTTTTAGTAGCTCTGAGGTCTAGGACTACCCATTTTAGAGCTAAAAGTCTTTTCATTTGGGAAATTTTTCTGTACCAGGTAAACTGGAGTGACTGTCACCCTAGGTAGTGCTGGAAAATTAGCAAGTCCCTAGATGAAGCTGATACCTCTGGTCCAGGAACCAGTTCTGAGAACCATGACTTTGTGCCAGGACTTCTCAACTTTGGTTGCCCACTGGAGTCAACTGGGGGTCTGGGAAAGCTATTGATTCTGATCTTATTGGTCTCAGGTGTAGCCTGGTGATTGGCCTTGTTAAAATCCCAAATGATTCTAGAATGCAGACAAGGTGAAGAACATCTTCTCTAGATTCATGAAACTATCCGGGAGCACTTTGACTCTGGCCTGTTAATATCCTGTCATTTAATCTCCTTGCCATCTTTCCTGACATTGTTTTAATTCAAGATATATTCATCTCCTAGTTGAGTTATCACATTAATCATATGACTGTTCTCCTTGCTTCCAAGTTTCCCATACCATCTCTAGTTTATCTGGAGAATCTTGCTAAAATATAAACTTAAGAAGGCTTGCTGAGGTGTCAGTGGGCATTTATTGTATTAGTCAGTGTCATTCATGTTATCTAAGGGTGGGTCTGAAATTCGGTCACCATAGCTTACTTCCACAAAGGTTGTTCCTTGCCCTTGCCATAATCCAGTGGCTGCTCTCCTGGACAGTTTTTCAAGTGATAATAAAGGGATCCACCTATCATATAGCTGTATCTCCTAGGGCTTCATTGGTATCTCTACAGGACAGTGAGAGAATAGGGAGTATGATGCAGGGCAGTGTAGAGGTTCACCCTGAAGTGGGACACACTACTTTTGCACATATTCCATTGTCCAGAAAATGTCTGTGGCTTCCATTAGTAGGGACCTGGAAATGCCCCATAGTGAATAGTAACATCTCTGTCATCATCTTGTCGTAACATATTGGTGCATAATGTCTTTGATTTCATCTTCATTAGATAGTACCTACCCCATAAGTTGTTGTGAGACTCAAATGACTTACTACTAGTAATTCATTTACTAATTAATACAGGTTATTCAATATTATAACTGAAAGAAAACACTAAATGATGTCAGCTCTATGCTAACCTGTTCTAGTGGACACTTCTCTTTTGCTCTGTAATAAATTCTTATGTAACAGTGTTCCCAAACTGGAAATCTTTTGTGACCATCAACCTCTAGGCTGCAATCTCTGAGCCCAGATAACTACTGTACTTATTGTTTTCAGTTAAAAGCATTGCATCAAGGAGAGTCCAAGATTAGACTAGGAGGAGACTTTTTTTTAAAGATTTATTTATTTATGCATACAAGAACTGGGGCACAGGCCAGAGGTGTGGGGGGTGAGAGGATTCACCAGAGACAGAGTGGGGAACAGAACAGGTGAATTGACTGATATATGCTGCTGAGGGGAGCAGCGGTTGAGTCAGGAGAGGTCTGCTGCGCCGTGTGAGTTGCTCCCTGGCTGGGGATCGAACTCATGCTGCAGTGGCTGCGGACAACTTCATAGGCTGTGTCTTAACACCTTGTGCCACCAGGGAGACCCTAGGAGGGGACTTTAGGCATGATGTAGTACTACCTGCTCATCTTAGTGATGAGAAAATGAGGACCCAGAGGGGGAAAGTGGCTTATGTATTCACTGATGTGCTGACTGAGCCATGGCTAGAAACAGTGCTTCCATCTCCCCTGCAAGTCCCCTGTTTCTCTCACTGTCAAGAAGCCTTCTGAAGAGGTCTCTGGCTGCTCCTCCCCTGCTCCCAGATCTCTCTCAATCAGTCTGATTCCTCCACGGTCTGGGAAAGGATTCCACCATTAATTCCAACCGCAACTCATCACATTCTAAGGCAGGTGCTTCCAACGCTCCAAGGTGTGAGCTCAAGTGAGAGCTCCTAACTTGGCCTTAAACTCACTGGGTAACAATTTAAAAAAATGTTATTTTATTTAATCCCTCCAAGGTTAAGGAATCAGATGCACAGACGGTGAAGACCCCTTTCCCCTAAAGACCTTTATAATTTCCTCTTTCTTTTCTCCCTTTTCTTTCTTTTCAAGATGTCCATGTCTGCACTTTACCCCAGCTCTAGAAAGGAAGCACGTTCAGGTTCAACTTCTTTGTTCTTTTCTGGTTGTTCATAGCTATTTTTGCTTTACTTTCCAAGTTAAATCTTCACATTTCTTCCACTGTTAGTCTCCTCACATCCTTTAAACATGGTTTCTTTAGAGTTCTGTAGTTTTTAAAGTTCTTTATTCACATACAACTTGCCTTTTTTCTAAAATGTTTTGAAGATTATTTTTTCTGCGGTAATGGAACCAAAACTTAAGGGAAACCTTTAAAACTTATGCTCCAGTCATTTACAAAAGCTTCCTGTGGTACTGAAATGGAAAATAAAAAATATCAAAGACTTTGTTTCTGCTTTCAGCTTATGTTGACACAATTCTAAGAAGAAAACAGAACATTTTTACTCATTAGTGTTTTGCTGTAGGAATTTATGATTCAGTAGTCAGTTCATACTGCTGGCAGGGCTGGTTTTATGTGTTAACAGAGGTCACGCCATCAGCTCTAATATCCTGCTTTCCATTATCTGACACTTGGCAAGGGTGCTGTCAAACTGCTGGTCAACCTTCAGAATGGGGAGATAATGTGTTTGGTTATTTTCAGTTACTAATGCCTTACAGTGAATACATTTATCAGGTAGCTTTTGGGGGGTTGGTTCAAAAATGGGGCTCTGACAAGAATGGGAGGAGATTGGACAAGGCACATTGGGGGAGTAAAGAGTGAGATGATGGATGCAAGGAGAAGCTGTTAGGTAATCAGGAGTCCTATGGGGGCCCTGCTTCCTATAGCATGGAGTGGAGAAGAAGTGCAAGGAGAGCAATAACCCAAAGAGAAACTTCTGGACTTCAGGATAAGGGTTCAATTTTCCACCTACCTGTATGTCCAAATCTTTCTGTTGTGCTCAAGTTTATGATCTTCAACCAAACAAAGAATTAATGTGGGGGTCTCCCCTGGTGGCGCAGTGGTTGAGCGCTGGGCTGCAGCGCTGGTTTGATCCCAGGCCTCCGGAGAGGTTCCCACATGGTGTGCAGACCTCTCCTGCCTCCCGCTGCTCCCCTCAGCAGTGTATTTCGTCAGTCTGCCTGTTCTGTTCCCTGCTCTGGCTCTGGTGAATTCTCTCACCCTCCCACGCTTCTGACTGTACCCAGTGCTTGAATAAATAAATAAATTAAAAAAAAAAAGTTTAAAAAAAAAGAATTAATGTGTTTCTGTTAATTAAGTGACTGACTGTAGTTCACAATAGGTAGATTTGTGAAAGGTCAGTTGGCAGAATTGCCACCTTTTCCTTCCTCCCAAATGTCCCTTTGACTTCTCTGATGATGAACTAGCTGTAATGCTTTTTTACCTTTTTTTTTTGAAAGATTTATTTATTTATGCATACAAGAACTGGGGTACAGGCCAGAGGCACAGGGAGTGAGAGGATTCACCAGAGACAGAGTGGGGAACAGAACAGGCAGACTGATGAAATACACTGCTGAGGGGAGCAGCAGGCGAGCTGCTGCAGGAGAGGTACACTGCACCATGTTTTTTTTTCTTAAGAAGAAATGTTGGTGTGTTTCTCCTAAAGATAAATATTTTGCTTCCAGGGTGTCATGGCCTCATGAGCTTTCACAGTCACTACCTGTGTGTGATCTTGTTAGAGAATGGTGGCGTTGTCAATTCAGGCCTGAGGTAAATGCCTTCGTTACTGGTTACTATTTAGCTTTTTCACTTAGCTATCCTGTCTGAATTGTTTTCACTTCTAGTGTTTGGTTGACAAGTGGATTCCCTTGTTGAAATTCCAAGTCAAATTGTACTAGAGAAAAACTTGAGCCTGAATCGTTTGAAAGAATAAGAAATTCACTAAGATCTGATAAGGCATCTTCCATCTTTTTAGGGTCTAGAAAGCACACTCACACTCACTGTCCCTAGTTCAGGCCTCTTCTCATTCCCAAATAAGATTTCTCTCCTTTTTGCTTGGCTTATAGGCAACAAAAATTTGTTCTCTGCATCTCAAAATACCATGCAGTTTTATGATTCAGTCTGTGCATCCTGCTATTCACTCTCAACACACACTCAGGAGAACTGTCCTTTCCTACTCTCTGCTAATAAAACTCTCCCATCTCTTCAGATTCAGAAGCTCTCACACCAGCCAGAAATGCTTTCTCTCCTCTGATCCCCAAGGTGAATGCTTATTCTGTCTTACATTGTTACTCTTCATTTGGTACAAACCATGTGACTCCACAATTTCCCTTCTGAAATTGCTCTCTCCAGTTGTCTGTTGATGGCACTGCTCCCCACCCCCATGACCTGCACCTCACCCTCTGGGATTTTAGGAAGGCAAAGACTGCCCTCCTAGAGACAAAGAAAAGGGTAGTGTTCATACAGCAAATAGCTTTCTTTTGATTTTGAAAATAATGACCACAAGAAGATTAACATCTTCCTGAGAAGACTGTTGGAAAATCAGTGATACTCAAAGCTTTACCAGAGGATTTGAATTTTTCCACTAAAGTGGAATTCATTTATTCAATTCAGCAGCTCAAGTCAATGCTTACTGAGTATTCAAATATGACAGGCATTCTAGGAGGTGGTGGGGATACAGCAGTGACAAAAGCAAACAAAATCCGTACCTCCTGGGGATCTCACCAAGCATCTGTAGTACTTGGTTGGTGAGTAGATTCCTTTATTTTGATTCCAAGGCAAACAGTGAACAAATAAAACTAGTCATTAGGTGGCAATACATGCCTGGGGGAAAAATTAAGCTTGGGAAGAAGATAAGACTGTTGGGGTGGGGAAAGAGGTGATTTTAAATACAGTGCTGTTGTGCTCTGGATACTTCTCTCTGGTGTAAAATGTTTGGACAAAAACTTAAAGGAGGTAAACAAATGAGGATATCTTTGGAGGCAATGGGGTGTGAGAAAATAATTCCAGTCAGAAACCCCTGAAATAGGAATGAATGTTGTGGAGTGAAGACTGGCAGGGAAGTGTATGTGACTGAAGTGAGTTATCTGAGGGGAAGAGTATTAGGGAATGAGGGCAAAGAAATTAGGGGAACTGGTCTTATAGACAATTGTGAAGATTTTGGCTTTTCATCTGAAATGGGAAACCAGTGGAAGGTTTTGAGCAGAGAATTGACAGGATCTGGTTTAGGTTTCAAAGCATGATCCTGTTTAGTGTGTTGAGAATAGTGTGAAAAGTAGAATCGGGAGGATCAACCTGGACATTATGGCTGTAACTCAGGTGTGAGATGGTGTTAGCTTCAACCAGGGCGGTAGCAGTGGAGGTGCTCGTAGCGTTCTTGGGTGAGTTGAATGTGGAGTGTGAAACAAAAAGATCAAGGCTAAGCCAAGGGTGAGCTGATGGTCAGAAGTATGAAGGGGCAAGAAGTATAGAGGGCCTCCTGAGAAGGGAAATGGAATAGACAAGGTGGAAGCCTAACACCGTAACTTCTCTTATTTCTTCTTTCTCCTTTCTCACGCCCCTTGCTCCTCTTCCAAAGGAAACTGACCGTGAGCAGACTGATTCCCTTGAGGTAGTATCAAAGCAATGGCCACTGAGTCTGATTGGTGGATTTCATTTCCCAAGAATATTTGCTTCCCCAGTGAAAAGCCTAATGGCCCATCTCGATTGCCTAACAGAGGGATGTGCCTGGAAGAGATTTCTCAAATGGATTTGGAAGGTTAGGAAAGGACGGCTGCCTAGATCTCTAAGTATTAGAAATAAAATGTTTCGTATCAGTAAAATGAAGTAAAAAGTTCTATCAATCTTACATAATACTAACTGTTCAAAAAACATTTATTCATCAACTATTTAAGGGATATTTACCAAGATCCAGGAGCTGTACTGGGTACCGGGGATATGATGGTGAACATTATGGTGGTAGCACTTACAAATAAGTAAGGGAGACTGATTGATTACACAGATAAGTATATTATTACATAATAAAGTGACTGAAGACAGTTGCAGGGTATCTCACAGTATATACCAGGTAGATACAGTCACTCCTTTCCCACTTTTGTAGTGTAGTTCTGTATCCCAGGATAGTCACAGAAAATACTCTAAAACAGAAAGAAAGAGCCACAGTTAATAAAGGCTTTTTATATTTGCAAATCATTACAAATCATAACATCAGCCATGTGATGATATAAGAGAATGAAACTCATTTTATAGTTAAAAAATTAAAAGCATTTATTATAAGGAAGAGTATTACTTTTTTAAGAGTAATATCTCAAAAATTATATATACACACACACACACGTACGTTGTGTGTGTGTTTCTAGAAGTTAGCTTTCCCTTTAGAGGATCTTTTTAAATAATGAATAGATGGGTGAAGTAAAATATCTTTAGTTATATGAGACGACATAACCAGAAAACAGCAGATTCACTATATATAGCAATTTCCAACTTCAATGCAAGCATTACACTATATATATATATATGTTGCTATCAAATCATGTATTTACTCTGCATAAATACACAAAAATAATATATATTAAGTGTAAAAATATAAAATTTGTTAAATTTTTTCAAGATTTCAATCATTCACATGAATTTAATGAGCTGCTTTATTTTTTTGTCTCAGCTTAATAGTTTTAGGAATTATTTTCAGGAATAATTATAAATGTGATATATATTATAATTCATCTGTCTTAAAAACTTACAAATAAAGAAATTAGAATCATCAGTTAATTTGTAGATGTGCATGTCAGAGAGAAAACAAATTATTGAAATAGTTAAAAACAAATTTACCTATTTACTTGAAAATTAAACTTAAACAAATTTAAAATACAATTTCAAAGCTTCACTTTAGGAAAATTCTGTGACAGAAAGTCTTTTTATGTTACATATCCATATAAATTTAGTTTTCACATTCTATTATTTATTCCATTTTCCTAACCTAAGAGAGTTCTGACAAGTATTTAATCATGAAGTACCAGTGCTAAATATAAAAACTAAGACAATATAAGTGTTCTAACCTGATGTAAAAGAGTCATAAAGACTAATCAACACTGACGCTAGCTCAGCCCAGTATTTTCTAATGTCCTACTTAAATTTAAGTTTAAGCGTTTTCATCCTGAGGTTTGGAAAGCAAGCCTCAAATGCTGCTTCTGAGACATGAATGTCTTACTAGTTCTCAGTTAACTCAGTAACACAGAATCCATTGTATTTTTTCTGTACAACTGTTGGAAATGAAAGTAGTGCAAATTCTCATTCTCCTTAGGGAAGCATGATATTCAGAATTAATGAACAGGTTTATTGTTTCTTCTGTATTACCTGAGAAATGGAGCTATGTCCTATACTAATTAACTGACACACAATAATTCACAATAGGACAGTGTTTAGGTTTTTTTGAATAAGAATCTAATTGGTCCATAAAAGCATAAATATTTAATAAAAATATTACTATTATTAATTTGTGTTGACTATTAAGAATACATTACAGCAAGTATATTTGATTGGCATTATGTTAGCCACTTATGTAATATATATACATCTAGATAAGATAATGTCATAGCTATCATAGCTATCTTTACACTCTAGAATCATATCTATAACTTTATATATCTATACATAAGTAAAGAGAAAGACATACAGATGGACAGAGATAGCTAGTATTTTAAACGTTGCACCACCCCATCCTCCAATAGAAGATTGTGAAGATAACATCCAAAGGCAAGGCCTATAGTCAAAAGTGTTAGCATCCTGCCACCGTGTGGTTATATGCAGTACTGCAGCTTTGTCTTACCTGGAATCATAATTGAGGCTTCCCAAAAGTATCAGAAATGCAGCTAAGACCAATAAGGTAACTTTTAAAAGAACTCAGAGCAGGCAGAAGCCTCCTGAAAAATCTACAAATACATTTTATTTTAAAATAAAAATTTCTGAGCCTCCCTGGTGTCTAGGGGTTAAGTCTCAGCACTATCACAGCAAAGGCCCACCTCTACTGCCTGAGTTCAATCCCTGGCTAGGGAGCTGGCCCACCTATGGTGCAGCAGACCTCTCCTATCTCATCTGCTCCTCCCCTCAGCAGTGTATTTCAGTAGATCCACCTGTTCTGCTCCCCACTCTGTCTCTGGTGAATCCTCTTACCCCCACCCCCACCTCTGGCCTACGTCCAGCTTTTCCATGCAAAAATAAGTAATTAAAATCTTAAAAACAAAAAAACAAAAAACCCATAAAATAAAAACTTCCCACTGAGCTCTAGCCCCTGAAAACATAACATTGTTATGACACATATATTTTCATTTTAAAATTTTTACAAGTGTTTCAGCAATCAGTATATTTCAAAAGTGCGGTGACCCTTAATAAGCAAAATATTTTCTATTTTAATAGGCAGATTTTTTTTAAAATAGAAAAAAAAACTGGTTTTAATATTCTAAGCTTTGTATTAATTTTGAACCAAAAGGGTGAGTTTGACACTTTGACTGGAAGGGTAATTAAGAATCTGGAAGAGTCTTGGGCATGAAGGGGAAGAGTGCCTGTTATTACCTGTAGTCCACCCTCCACCTCAGCCTAACTTAACCCAAATAGTTTTTATTTCTGTGTATAATGCAGATGTCATGCTAGGACCCCATGCTTCATTGAACTATAAAACAGGATGTGTATAAAAGAATAGAGGACTAGAAAACTTATTCTAAAATATACTTAATACTACGTCACTCCCTACACCTTCCCCAAGCACAGTGAGAAGCTGTCTTCAGCACTATGCAATCAGAATGACCCACTGCGGTTGCCGTTGATAACATCACAAAGACAGAACCATCATCTGAAGTGATCTTTGTCCTCTCACCCACGCTGTTAGAGAAGTCATGACTGAAACATTCTGGCACTTGATTCCAATAAGCATCAGGCATTGGATGCTGGGAAAGACCTTTAGCGTTTGGTTGCAGCGTGCTTTAAGCAAGTCACATCCTGCTTGCTAATAGCTACATTTATGAGGCTAACTGGTGAATTCAAGTGGCAAATGAATGGTTACTTAAGACTGATGTCAAATAACTGTTCACCTCAAATGTGAATAAAGATGGGATTTGTTATTTTATTATATACACATTTACCCATATCCTGGCTTCTGTGTTCACTTTGAGGCTCTTGAGTTTTTTCCTTCCCTCTTCTCTAGCTTGCTTTCTGCTTTTGGTTGTTCTTTCCAGTTGCCCACTAGGGCATCCGCCTCCTGTCTCCATCCCAACTCGATCCATGTCTTCTATAATATGCTAAACAAAAATAAAAGATGCCAATGTGAGGCATAGGTCAGTTCACCACGAAGCACTAGAGGTCAACTCAAGCCTTCAATCTGTTCTCTCTCTCTGCTCTGTGGTAGAAACAGAGCAGTTAGATGGATCTGAATTATTTGAAACTAAATTGTCAAACTGGCTGAGTGAGGGCAAGGGCCTTGGGGAGAATTATGTCCAGAGATTAGAGTAACACTGATAAAGTCAGATTTTTCAAGTATTTAACTCAGAAAGGCTGCAAACATTGATTTGAGGGTTGGAGAAAAGTTCTAGATAGGAAAGGAGGGAAGGAAAGAGAGGAGGGAGGGATGAGAGAGGAGAGAGGAAGAGAGAAGCAGTAGGTGGAGGGGAGAAAGGGAGGGGGAAACTTTATTCTCAGTATGGACAACACAGTATTGGATGAGTCCTTCCTTCCTGCCCTCTGCTTAGTGCCTGTCCTAGTGATGCTTCATGTTAGTGAGACTGATTTTTCACACAACTATGTGAATATTTCTTGAGCACATACCACATGGGTTCTGGAATTGGACATGTAGCCTTTTAATCTTTAGAACGACCCTGTAAGCTAAGTACGAATACTATCCTGATTTTACAAATGAGGAAACAGATACTGAGGAAGGTGAAATAGCTCACCACAGAGCTGGCCTTGGAGACCCCACGCTCCTAGTCTCTCATTAGACCATCTCTACCTATCCAGGAGGAAACAAAATCAAGTTAAACAGTGTGCCCCAGGCAGGCAAGAGTAAGAGAAGGGCAAGGATTTGAAACCAGACCTCTCTGTTGTAGTAGCAACACCCCGGCATTTGCCTTTAGCGAAAGGCTCCTGGCCTCAGCTTCTCTTTCTTGCAGTTACATCCCAGCTCCTGTTCTGAAGTGACTGCTTTTCAATTCTTTCTCAGTTCATTTTGCTTCCAAGCATATTGTGCCTTCCCTTCTAGTTTTCTGTTTCTAGATACCTTTTCTATATTTATCAGAACAGTACGTTTGCTCCCCTTTTTCTATTACATGAAAAGTAGAAGTAAACAGTGAAATAGTTGGAGCTTGACCTTGGCTCTGCAGCTCCCGGGAGTGCCTTTGAGAAAAGCACTTAATCCTAAAGACCAGGCTCCTGCTCTGAAAACTAAATCAACAGAACAAACCTCATGAGGCTCGTCTGAAGACTACAAACCATAGCCCTGTAAACAGCCTTTTCTGTTATCCCGCTCATAACAAGAACAACACAAGTGTTAGTTGCGTCCGATTTTAATCATCATCATTAGAATTAAATGTTACTCATTTAAAAATATTTTTAAAATACAAATGTCAAAGTGCCTTTCTCAGGTAAAATTTCCTTTTCCCCTTTAGATGGCACTGGCTCCAGGGAGGCAACCTCTCTTTTTAAAGCCAGAGATTAACAGAAGTTAAATAGTTGCTATTATAACTCAAACTCTGGTCTCTGGTGTAAAGTTGGCAAAGTCTAAATTTAGAGTAAATTGTTACTTTAAAGGTCAGTTCCTCAGTGAGGACAAAGGATATATTGCTTTTTGCTTTAAAGTGGAGCATGAACTGAAGAGGGTTTGATTTAAGGACAGTGAGGGACGCTCGTCTTGGTGCTTCTGGAAGGTACCTGCGGACTCCAAGGCGCGTCTGTGAGAGCTGTGGTCTCGCCCTGTCCCTGACTTTCAATTACCCGCCGCCTTTCCATCAACTGTTGCTTTCCCTCAAACAGGTCACCGCTCAGGCCTCTCCATGAGGAACAGAGAAAATTGAGAGTCAAGTGAGTTCACCTTTCAAAAAAAGCACTTGCTACTCAATCCAGGTTAAAGTGGAGTTTGGGAATAGTGCAAAGGAGCAGTCATTACTCACAAGGAGGTCTTCTCAGTAAAAATAATTCTTTTTTTTTTTTAATAAAAACATTACATTCTTGATTTGGCTTCATGAAAACTATGAACACAATTTCAAATATTAAATTATGCTTGTATCTGTGTTCATAGCCTTAAAAAAAAGCAAATTTTGATTTCTAATCTGCAGGTTCTATTGTAGTCATGATTTCTAAATTTCTTCCCCTAAACATACTTAAATTTTCCAGGTGCTGGGAAAACCTTTTGACTTTCCCGTACGTCTCCAGCATACTCTTCGTCGTGCTATTTTCATAATGCTTGTCTCCCCACACCCTTTCCTTCTATTTAATGGATAAAAATTTCAAAAAAGGTTTTCAGAGTTGAACCCACATGTGTCATGAAGGCCACATACTCCTGTGAAGGGTGTTTGATCTCTATACTTGCACCAGTGCCTTGTAGGTGTCTCTTTCCTCCTTAAAATCCATGAAGGAGAAGCCATTTCTGATGAAACCTCTAGACTGTTAAAGCATCATCAGACTTACCAGGTAGATGTCCTAGGGTTTATATTTTTTGTTACTTTTCCCCTGAAATGCCTGCCTTGATGAATTCAGCATTTATTTTCTAATTTCTACCTATTTGGCATTCAGAATACAGTCATGCAGCATTCACATATCTCAGACGTACCTTACTTATGCTTTTGGTAGAATCCATTAAAAGTCAGGCATTTGCCTTTAGTGAAATATGATCTCAAACATTCTTTTGAACTAATTTGCATGGTTCTCTGATTTTATCTAGTAAGCGCAGATGCACTTGTTAGGTTTGTCAATTTGTATTAAGTTAACAATTATCTAATCTGAAAATCAGTAACAAGTCTCCAATCATCTTCCACTGTTTGGACAAGATCTAGCAACAGAATCTGGATATGTTGGTCCTGAGACAGAACACCAAGATTGCTCCTGGTTCTTTCCCCCCGCCCCCCAGATTGATTGATTGATTGATTGATTGATTTGTTTGTTTGTTTATTTATACAAGCACTGGGCACAGTCAGAAGCGCAGGAGGGTGAGAGAATTCACCAGAGCCAGAGCAGGGAGCAGAGCAGGCAGAAGGACCGAAGTACACTGCTGAGGGAAACAGCGGGCGGCAGGAGAGGTCTGCACGCCATGTGGGACCCTCTCCTGGTGGCCGGGGATCGAACCGGCGCTTGCAGAGGCTGTGGCAGCTTCGCAACCCAGCGCTCAACCACTGTGCCACCGGGGAGGCCCAGCTCCTGGTTCTTAATGAAAAAAATCTACAGTTCAGGAAAGGCAAGTTTTCTAATCAGCACTTACTCCTTCCTTTACAGGGCTTGCATAAAGTCACAGGGACTTATTTTGCCAAAATTGTTCAACACATTTACACGGTGGCCTCTGGAGTAGGGGATGAAGTAGAATTAGCAGATACAGAGCTACTGTGACTGGTTTTATTTTTTAATTTTCTTTTATTATTAAATAATTTGTTTTCTTACATTGTAAAACAACTGTTTTTAACATGTACCTGCTGCTACTGTGCTAGATTGAACAGAGGAAGAAAGTTCTGGAAAAATGACAGCTGCACTGGCTGATTCCCAATATCTGGAACACAGCTCACATGTGCATTTGACAGCACACCAACTTCCCTAATTTGTGAGAATTTTACTGTGACCTCTGGAACACAATGAATTCAGCTCTTTACTCATACCGCAAATCCTCTTCCTGACTATTACATCCTCCAGTATCTTGTTTGTTTCATCCAAACTCCTCCTATATTAGATTTTTCTAGTCTAGAATCTCCATCTGTCAGAAAACAAGTTCAGGGCTGATTTGTAGGCAAATTAAGTAGCAACTAAAGATCATCCTTGAGTTGTAAATAACTCTTTTTATGCCTTCCCCCCAACCCCCCAAAATAAAGGTAACAAAATGTTGAAATGTAGTTTGTCATCAAGAAATACACAAAATCATCAACAACAACCATTCAAAATTCAAGGGTTGAAAAGGTTGTTCTTAATGTGGAGATCTTTAAAGCAAAACAAGAATCTTAGCATAGACCACAGAGATCTCAGTGTTGTGTAACTGGGGTGTGGGAGCTCTCAGAGGTCCCCAAATCTATGGCATAGCATTTGTGTGTTTTAGGGAGAAGCAGGAAGATACAACTTGCTAGATTTTGTTCTTTTCCCCAAATAGATGGTATGCAGAAAAACTGAGTTACTTAGATCTAACCCACTGGCGTTTCCTCTGATTTCTTGAAGTTGGTGTAACTTGTGATCTATAGCCAACAGAAGGAAAAAAATCGCTGCTTCATCATATCATTTTTGTCAGCTGAAAAGAATAATGGAGAGGCACAGAAACAACCCCCTGAAGGGCTAATTGGAGCTACAAGGCCGATCGGATGTGTTTGAAGACGTTTTACAGAACTTTGTTAAATCCAAGCTATGGCTTAGATTTAAAAAACCCATCAAGAACTGTGCCACCCTTTGCTGTATTTCCATATAGCCTAAGCCCTGCCTCCTGCTGACTGTCTTTGCCTTCATCTATCCCTTCACTGCCTCCTGGTCTCATAAGCCATCAGAGTCTGTCCACCCTCACTCAGTTTCCATGCTACAGATCAAATTATCTTTTAAGCAAATCGTTTACCACTCTGAGGTTCGCATTCCAGATCTCTAAAACAGGCATATAACAGCTAAGTCAGAAGAACTGTGAGAATCACTTTATCCTAAGGAGCAGGATATTCTTCCATAAATACCTTAGAATCTCTCATCTCTGACCTACAGCACTTCCCGAACTTAGGGAGAAACCCCCACTGCTCTCTGTGCCCTGGCTCATGTTGTCTACACTGTTGGGTAGATCAAGATCCTAGACTCTCAGACTTCTCCACAGACATTCTTCTGATGACAGAAGGAAATGAACGATACCTGTAATGGTCCAGGGAGATGCTGGGGGTTCTAATCAAAAGCGGGTTGCCACAAGCATATCTCATTTGCTTTAAAATTTTTACTGTAAATTTCATTCTGTCTATATTCATATAATCCCCTCCAGTTCCATCCCTGTTGTCACAAATGGCAAGATTTTATCACTTTTTTAAATATTCAGTAGTATTCCATTGTGTATATATGTCACTTCTTCCTAATCTGTTCATCTGTTTTGGGGCAC